GTGTGTGTGTGTGTGTGTGTGTGTGTGTGTGTGTGTGTGTGTGTGTGCGTGTGTGTGTGTGTGTGTGAGCAATGCAGTGGGCCCGGGCACCGGACGTTATCTGACACAGTGTTTGTGAGAGTCTGAGACATGCTCGTCGTGTCCGCCACGCAACCTTGGCGACATGGCCAGTGAGGGGATGTGTGTGTGTTTATCTACGTGGTGATAGCCCGGCGACCTTGTGGGTACTGCTCTTATATATTCAGACACTTTCAAACCTCCACAGTTAGAAATCCAAGTCTTCTCTACAGCACTCTCAGCCGTTGGTTCACTTCTTTCAAGAAGTTTTACAGCTCAGCCAAATATTGAACCTTTGTGCTCGACTTGCTTTTACACTTTTCTAGTTCTCTTAAAGCTGCAACAAACTCCTATAACAGAAAATGCTGCCTGCAACCTTCAAACTGTTTGCTGGCATCTCATATCGGCATACGAGGAACATGACAGGTGAGTGGGACAGTCCTGTTTAGACTGACATTGAACAATCTTGCTTTTTTAAATGTATGAGTTCTGCAGAGAGCCGAGGGTCAGTGTGGCTGAATGACAAAAATGAAGGAAGAATAAAGCTAAAATCTTCTTTTCTTGTGATTGTCTTCCTTTTCATACACAGAATTTGCAATCAATTGATTTAAAATTGTAGAAACTTTGTATTTATTCCCTCTGCCTCAACAGGTTTAAGGAAGAATGCCATTGAGGCCATTCACCATGAGCTGAACAGACTGGCAGGTCCGGGCCCCAGTAACTGGATCAGCCAGGTCCGCCGACGAAGCTCCCTCCTTAGTGAGTTGTTAAATGTCGAGACAGATAGAAATAATGCTGCCATTGAGTACTTAAAAATAGACTTAAAAATACAGAAACATAACAGTGGAAGTTGACATATTTTACCTCCAAGGTTCTCGGATTGAAGAAGAGGAGGGGTACAACGAGGAGGAGATGTCTTACTTGAAGCAAGGTGAGGACGCACTGCAGAAGGCAATCAGCATCCTCAGCGAACAAGACGGCTGGACCATTGAAATTGTAGCCGTGAGTACTGAGACAAGGCACACAGAATAGAAGAGTATTTCACTAAGTATTTACAAATTCAAACATTACAGCACTTGTCATGTTGTGATTAAAGGTGTGGGTCTGAAGAGTGAAAGTGCTGGTGATGAGAACAGATAATGTGACACTATCCGCTGTAGATGTTTTCAAATGCATCCTTCCATTACTTCTTTACACCTCTCCTCAGGCAAACGGAGACAAAGTCTTGAGTAAGGTGTTGCCTGACATTGGGAAGGTGTTCAAGCTGGAGGTGATGTTGGAGCAACACTCTGACAATCTTTACGAGGAGCTGGTGGGAAACATGGAGCAAATGGGGGACTGGAACCCTAACGTCAAACAGGTTAAGGTAAGAGAGAGGCTGCCCCAGGGGTTGGAATATGAACAGGGATCCCCTTTAGATTCTGCTACCTAAAATGAAGTATCACAATTCACAACGAGACATACTGCATATATCAATCCAAGAACACTGATAGATTTTCACAATGGCATCCCACAGATCCTTCAAAAGATCGGTCAGGACACAATGGTTACCCATGAGGTTTCTGCAGGGACACCCGGCAATGTGGTGGGACCGAGGGACTTTGTCAGCGTCCGCTGTGCCAAGCGCCGCGGCTCCACCTGCTTCCTGGCAGGAATGTCAACTCAGCACACGAAAATGCCTGAGCAGAGGGGTGTGGTGAGGTGAGCTCTCACCTGAGGGGGAAATCATTTACTTGTTGTGATACGTGCAAGCATTTATCTTAGGAGTAAATAGACTATTTTATGTGCAGTGGATGGATGAGAATATCTCATGCAGTTTAAACTGATGTTGTACATTGATCTTTTCCTTTTTCAGGGCGGAGAATGGCCCTACCTGTATAGTCATGAAGCCATGTGCCGAAGACCCAAATAAGACCAAGTTCACCTGGTTACTAAGCATAGATCTAAAGGTACGTGACTATTATTTCCCACAGTAACCACACTGATCTGTATTGGAATGTATTCAAGAACTAAAAGTAAAACTGTGTAAAGTGTCTAATCATCATGTTATACAATCTAACATTGTCTTTCTCTTTGTCGTCTGCAGGGCTGGATCCCAAAGACGATCATAAACAAAGTGCTCTCTCAGACTCAGGTGGACTTTGCCAACCACCTCCGGCAAAGGATGGCCAATAATGTTTCTATGGAGATGGCTCATGCCTGCTGACTTGAGCTTTGGCACAGTGCGCTTAACAGTGGCAGAGGAGTAAACTGTGCTCATTCAAAAAATCAAACGTCAGCTTATAACTGCTGAAACAATACGAAAATCCAGAGTAGGAGATCAGATGAAGATGATGCTTGTCTGAGATCTTAGAAAAATCTGAATACAGATGGTTTCAATTGGCAAATGTGTGTTTTTCTTTCCCCTCTTCATAGAAAATCTGTCATGAGATATTGATTTCTGATACATACCTTCATATCCCTCCGCTCTGCCTTAGCAGACACATTGAGTCAGTGTGAGCGGTAAAACGTGTACCAAACTGCACATTGTTTCCTTCTGATAACACACCAGTTATTGTTGCTCCCTCTTGTTGTGAAACTGCACTTTTATTTCAGTGTTTTATTTATTGATGCTGCGCAGATGCATTACATTACAATGACTGCCAAGTGAAGAAACGATTGCAAAGTCATTGGTATTTATGTTTTTATGCTTTTATTATGCTGTTGTAAAAGCAATTTGGAGAATGATTACTCTGCCCTTTCCTGAATAAAAGCTCATAAAACATTTCAATGGTCGTGCTTAAGAATACAAACATATAGTCCACACATATACCTGGTCACACAGACTTTGAATACAGAGATTCTACTACCATAAGAAGAAAAACAAAAAAACTGAAAGCCAAGAACTCATCTTGGAATTTACACCGCAATTGCACAATCATTCCATGTTGACAGGGAGGAGATGGATGGATTTAAAGACTCCTTTTTAAGCCATGAGAAACGTAGTTCATTAAAAAATGTTTCCCTGTTCCTTGATGGGTTCTCAGACTGACAGTCTGCCAGAATGAGCAGGTGTTTGGCCATTCGGATGTGTGAGGAGCCCAGCAGCGTGCAGTTCAGTGTGAGCCAGCAGCACATTCCACAAGATTGAGTAACAGTGAATTTCATCCCAAACAGGAAATCTGTCCTCCATTTTTACCAGTTGTGTAACATTTTTTCCTATTTTGTGTGTTGATCCAAGATATAACAACTCACTTTCTTGGGATGTAGTGCAGACTACAGGGGCCAGGATTAAGTTTAAGAGTAGAGGTCTCACTTTCTGTCTCACATGATTAAGTTGGCTGCAAGATATTCACCATCACTACTGCACAATTATTCAACTATGACATACTAAGGCCAGACTAGACTGAAGCCTGGAGGAAGCTTCTGAGGTGAAATAGAGGGTGAGCTGTGTTAGCCCAGTTCATAATCATTTTGAGAATTTAGCCCCTCGACAAATGCACATTTCGGTTGATCCTTCCTTCCTCTAAATAAAACAAACTTCAGCAGCATAGTTCCAAGGGCTGCCTTGCGCAATGCAAAACAAACATATTTTCCGAGGAAGAATGTCCCAGAGGGTAATAATTGACATCTGCTTGAAATCCTTAAACAATTTAACATTAGCAGATGTGAGCAGAGTTGTTGCCACTTGGAGATCTTGTTCTATTATTTGTGTAACGCGAGTAGCAGAGGAATTCTGGGAAAGGGGAGGGGGAATTATCCAGTGCAGTGTAATAAGCACAGGAATACAAAACAAGCTCTGTAGCCGTCATATTGAATCTCTGTTACTGAGGACAGCCCTCAGGAAATCTACTTATTGTTTCATCCAGTTCTCATCTATGTGTCATTGACTGAAAAACAACTCCAAACATCAGCTTAAATCTTTGTTTTATAGGCCTTTAAATATTAACATACTTATTTCAGTTAAGAGAAAAAAGAATGAAACTCTTTTTAAGCAAAGAACAGTATCTGTGCTGAAGGGAGGTATAGATAGAAAAGGAGGTCTCTGAGCCCATCATATCGGTGAGAGAGAGAGAGAGAGAGAGAGAGAGAGAGAGAGAGAGAGAGAGAGGGCGCAATGACGTAATGAAGCTACAGTCCGACAGGGAACCACAATTCCCAGGATGCACTTGAAATTACCGTGGCCACTGGACGGGGGAAGGGAAGCTGAGATTGGAGGGAGAAACAGTCAGAAACTGAGGTACTTTTGAAATGCTTCATATCGCATAATATAGTCGGACAGCTCACGGCACGCAATGTTTTGTAGCGCTTTTTAAAATATACCTTTGAAACAAAAGCAGGTTAATCCGTTCGGTGCTGTCGGATTTGTGCACAGAGTCCATCCCCGTTACAGTTCACTAGAGCTACAGCTAGCCCGTTAGTTAGCCTGACAGCTGGCTTTTTCTTGTGATAGCTATTAGGTCTCGACCGCTTCATTGCACTTCATATTCATGACACAAACTGTTAAGCTGTTTGCGGCAATTTCCGGCTGGCTTTGCATGCAACCTGTGCAAGTAAGTAGCGCATTGTCGGTTTGAGGAGAAGCTGTAGCTGCGTCTGTGTGCCTGCGGGTTGCTAGCTGACATATTGCTAGCTTTAAGGTTGCTACAGATAATGTTGCTAGCTTGCTACTGTACCGTTAGCTGTCAGAGCAAACTGTCATCTCACAAAGATGGACTCGAGACATTTTTGTGATTTATTTATTTTTTTTTTTTTTATTTATTTATTTTTTTTTTTTATTTGATTTTTTTTTTTACCATGACACAGTGCATTTAAATCTGCAGTGATTTATTTTGACACCTTAGTTTTTACATAACGTTATATCTTTCTGTGATTTAGAGGAAGTATTCAGATTACTTATATAAATAATAATGCCATTCTGTAAAGATACTCCATTACAAGTAAAAGGCCATGCATTAAAAATGACACTCGAGTGAAATATACAAAGTATGAAAAATAAAAGTGCTCCATGCAGAGAATTGCTACCCCTCTGAGTCATATGTGTTATTTAATTATGATTTATGTGCAATTAGCATTTTTTGTTCGTCCTATTTTTAAAAGTACATGAGCTCTTTATATGTTGTATATGTAAAATCTCAATTTATAAAATACCTTGTATAGCTGTAAAATAAATGTGAAGTGAAGTACAACCACCTCACATTTGTATTTAAGTATTGCAAATGTTTGCGTATTTCAATGGTTCTCTTTGTTCTAGTTTTCCAGATATTCTGTACATATGACCGCCCCTCCTCAGGACTCTGACCATACCAGAACCCTATCCATGACCCACACCTCCCTGGACACCTTCACTTCCTACTTTGGACGTGTGCGGCTGTTTCATGTGAGGCTGAAGACACAACACAGCTCTGTTTCAAAGTGAATTAAACTGCAACTGTGCTCGTAACCTCTCGCTGCGTACTGGATTTGTCTTGAGTGCCAAAGACATGAAGTGTCTCGGACAGGGAGAGCCCAGCCCGGAAAAGCAATGTCATTATCCAGCGTCTTTGCACGTCTGATGGGGCTGAGCAGTGGACCCACTGGCCAAACACATCTGCGGAGAAGAGGAAGGAGGCAGGTTTCTAGGAATGCTGTGCATTGATGGATAGCCATTTCCTCGTGTCAGCTCTTGCAGACCGATACCTGCGCATTCCTGTCCGTGTACACACTCAAGGTTGGACTTTATAGTAGCTAATAAAACCCAGCTGCCATCTCAACCACACAATCATCGCTGTAACGCAGAAAAGGAGAACAATATGATGTGCACAGTATGGATTTCTTCTGCAAGCGATAGCTTTGGTAAATCATACTTGTGACTGTGGACATTTGAGTTCTCTCTGTACATGAGGAGAAAAGCATAGATATTTGCAGGCACTACTAATGTGCACTACAGAAACCATGGTGGTCCTTGCATCAGCTCCTCAGCCCATCTCAGTCCATGACCACAGAAGCCTTTAGAGGCCAGGATCAGGAACACGCTCGCCAGCCAACACGTATAACTCATATGCAATGGAAGAAGACATTGATGTTGCATCCCACACTGAGGTAATATTATTTCACCTTTTGGTCTCAACATTTGTAACCGTTTAATGTCATTCCAGTGTTTTTGTTTACAGCAACTTAACACCATTAAAACATAAAGCAACACCTGCTGTGGTGGTCGACAGAATGGAAGAAGGTGCTGTCGTACCACTGTTGCCATATTGATTTAGTCACCCTCAGGGATACATGTTCCTCTCCTGTACCACACTATTTAATAAACAATTAAGAGCTCATTTGTTTAAGTAGTGTAAATTAAGGCCTACGGTTGAAAGTTGTCCCTCTGCTTTAGGTGTAATCTGTGGTCTGGCTTGCAGACAGGGCATTCCCCTTATCCCCAGCTTGGTTTTCTAGCCGTAACATTACTTATTGCTCCCTGGTCTCTAGCCTCGTGTACTGCTTTTTTTTGTAGACAGTCGGATAAGTATGTCCCCTTCCTGGCTGGTTGCAACGTAACAGGCCAGGGACAGTTTTCCTCAAAGGAAGTGTACCCTCAAACTACCGGATCGACCAACACAAGACGCATCCGAATAAGACCGAATAAGTGAGGTGTTTCCAAGTGTTCAACTTCTGAGATAGCTCTGAGATTTAATTTGGCTTGTTGTACTCAATGTTTTTCACTAAACATAGATTACAGGGACGTCAGAGCTACAAAAAAAAAAAGTGAGAATAAAGAATCGTGCCATGATAATGAATTGCTTGTCTTTAAAGCAGTGAAAGCTGTGCTACTTGTACATTGTATACATGTCTGAAGCATCTGCTCTGTGTTGCTGGCCTCCTGTTAGGGCCTGAATGGTTTGTCCCGTGAATGTAAACCATTAGAGGATATCACCAATGGACACTCCAACCATAAGCCTGTGAGTAAAAATATATTTCCGTTGATTCATCGCAATTTGTTTTTCTTTGCCAGTCTTTTATTCATTAACTGACAATTCAAACTTTTGTCTTCACAGGTCATGAACGGACTGATAATTAGTCACAGTGTCAAAGACCACACCAACGGCAATGCATCACTCAGATCCCTGCCGGTAATTGCATTTCATTCTCCGCATCGCACTGCAACCAGCATGTGCCTCCTTGATTGTAAGGTAATCCATTATTTGGTAATTGTGCAGATTTCAGCACTGAAGCAGAACGGTCTCCTGCAGACCCTGGCAGCCGGAGAGGACCAGCCTAAACCTGCAGGTAATGCACACGCGCTGTCGCACAACCTCCCCTTTGTCTCGCATCCTCTTCCCACCGGAATGTGAGACGGTGTATCCTAGATACCAGGCAGCTGCTGCTGCAGGTAAAGCCTCCCTCAGGAGTGCAGGTTGCCTGCTTGGAGGAAGCACGGGGTCTCAGTGGCACACTCTGAGTGATGCAGGTCTGTTGGAGAGGAAGGATTTATGACTGAGAATGAATTGGATGGGTGTCGGCCATCGCACCATTGGCTGAGAAGATACTCATCACCTATCTGTGCTCCTGGTGTGTGAGAGTGTGCGACACAGTCGGGTGTTTTAGTTTGACGTCTTATCTTTTTTTTAATTTTTTTATTATCTCTGCAGAGGAAAATGTGGAGTTGGAAAAGGCCAGAGAAGAGTGGGAGGCTCTGGAGAACGTCCAACCAGGTCAGATACATCTTACTGTATCACCTGTTTGCGTTAAGATACTGTGACTGCTTTGTTGAATTTCATTTTATTTTGTCTTTATGTTGCCGTTCCAAAAGATTAACGTTATATGTGATATCCTCCAGCTATCACTGAGGACTCAAACCCAACTCCGCTCATCTCCTTCAATGAAGCGCTGCAGTACTTCCAGACCACAGACCTCGGGGACTTGATGGTAAGGAACACTACTTGCCCTCAAATATAGAAGCTGATATTTCAATAAAGCTCTCAAATAATAGCAGAAGTAGCACTTTGTTTGAACAAATAAAGGCTAAATTCAACAAAATGTATATTTCCACCACATTGTTTTGCTATTTGCAGACTTTGAGTTTGATATCACAGTAAAAGATTCCCAGGGATGGAAAGGGAACCAGTTTCTTAAAGCTTCTTAAAGCAACAGCAAATTAGAAACGTCATTTTGACCTGTCTCACATGCGTCACTTGTCAGTAAGGGAAATAAAGAATTTACAGTGTGTGGGTAAAACAGTGACATGCATACGTTGAGCCAAAACTATAATTATTTTAGTAAAATGAAATTGCAATTCTCTTGTCTAGCTTTTATTATGATGCAAATATTTACAAACTAAGTATCAAGTGGATTACTTTAAGAATTGTACTGATAGTGCTAACTATAGTGTTAAAGCGGTATTGTATTTCTGCTCTAACCCTCATCTGTAGAAGAACATCCAGCCAACCGTACGCAGGACAGGTCTGGCAGCGATCACACATTTCCTCTTCGGACCTCCGCGGCTGCACAGGGAACTCCTGGAGGAGAGGGATTTGGTCTTTGCCATCGCACAGTGTGAGTGTGTGTGTGTTTTCTGGGCTTGTTTGTGTAAACATCCCCGCCATGTGTCAAAGTTACGAGTGTGTCCAATAAACCACTGATTCTCACTCCTGCATATTTTTGTGCGTTTTTTTATAGGCCATGTGGACAACAGCCAAGCGGTCCACATGCGTGTCCTCCAGACCATTTACAAGAGGCTGATTGGCAGCAGGCTGGACTGTCCTCGCTTCGGGGCGCACTGGGAAAACATCGGTTTTCAGGGTGAGAGACGTACTCGGTCCGCTCCTTCGCTGTGGATACAGCGGTCCAAGTCTGTGGATGTTCACATTAAAATAATCTTGCTAGTGAACTGCTCTTTAATTTCACAATGTAATTGTTAAAGAATGTTACGGTTCATTAGGAACGGTCAATGCAACACATGGTGGTTCAGTATGAAATGCTTCTCTAAATATATGCCATCAGTCATTAGCTGAAAGATAGTTCTGAAGCCTCTGTGTGATGCTATAAGTTTTATTTTAGAAAAGAGGGTTATATATCCTAAATAATTGATGGTATTTATAACAAGGAAACATCATGACTCAATGTGTTGTTTTGTTTTCTGTGCTGCAGGTACAGACCCAGCCACCGACCTACGTGGCACTGGTTTCCTAGGACTGATGCATACGCTGTACTTTGTGATGGACCCAGAGACTCTCCCGTTGGCTCGAGACATCTACAAGTTATCACAACACCCGACGCAGGTATCACAGAGGCGCAACCGGCTCGCAATTCAATTGCCCATGCCAGCAGAGTCGGCTAATGTGTGCGTGCATGCGTGTGTTTTATTCTGGAATCAGATTTCACTAATCCCTCGGAGACACTGAAACACCTCTCACTCCAGGCGTGCTACTTTTGTAGCTGACCCTGACCCTTTGTCCTGCCTGCAAAGGGAACTACAGCGAAAAAGAGAATTCCCCCTCGGGGATCAATGAAGTCAGCTACAAAGCGAGCTGGTTTCAGGCATTGCTCCTGTAGCCTCTATCAGTACTACGTGTGGACCGACGTTTCCTTGTGTTTTTTCTCTGGTTTAGAACTTTCCATTCAGTGTGATGTCAATCAACATGACCCGCATCGCTCTGCAAGTACTCAGAGAGGAAGCCATGTCCAAGTAGGTCACTGATCCTCAGTTTCTTTGTTTTTACTGCATCCTCTCGAGTATGTCTGTGGCTCGCTGTGTATTTGTCACACCGCACGTCTTCACCAACTTTTGTCTTCGGTCACGCCAGGGAGTGCAATCGTCGCCAGCAAGTGGTTGGTGTGCTGAATGAGTTCTACGTTGCTACGTATCTGCACCTGTACCAACTGTGGAAGACCCAACAGAAGACCATAGTTGACTCTGGCTTTGTACTAAAAGGTAAAGAAAGTGGAGTACGGTTTCTAGGCACTTTGTAAAGGATGTCTGTTCACTTGTAATGAGAAGATCTGTCGTTCTGTTGCAGATGCATTTTATTCCGGTGAAAGTGTCGCACGTATTGGAGTCAGATCGAGACTACATAAGACACAACTAGCATAACGCACCTGAACCTCTAGTCGCATTGTTTTGACAAATAAGAAGAATGAGTGAAATGGAAAAGTCCTAGTGTTCTTTTAACTACATGTTTTTGCCCTGATTTTTACGTCCTCTTTTCACCAAACAACCACATTTAATCAGACTGAAAGTTATGTGAGTGGTATCAATCTTCTCATGTATACTCAAAAATGTCGAACTCGTCCTTTAAAACACGAGTCGCGTGTCTCTGCAGTGAACTCAAAATCCGACTGCAGAGGCACAGATTGTCATACCAGTGTGAGTCCCACAGTTTCTGTGTTTTCCTAACCCTTCAGAGGTGGAGTTGTTTGCCAAAAAGAACCCCAAGCAGATGCTGCGCCGACTAGAGGTCTTCCTGAAAGAGAGGCGGGCAGGTGGAATCCCCCGTGGGACGTCGCCAGACCCTCAGGCCCAACAGCCCTCTCCCGGCCTGGGGGCCAGAGCCGGGACGGGACATGGAAGCAAGGGAAAGGAGATGCACTTCACAGGAGTGTGTGAACTTCCGCCAGACATGGAGGGAGAGGCCAGACTCATCTAAGCTAGACTCTGTGTGTGTGTGTGTGTGTGTGTGTGTGTGTGTGTGAGTGTGAGAGAGAGAGAGAGAGAGAGAGAGAGAGCAATCCTGTTTGTGAGTACATCTATCACGGTATGTGTGAGTGGCTTACTCTCAGAGAGCTAAAACGCCACCAGTCACTGATCTAGGACCTGCTATCTGAACCTATTCAAACACTTCCACTCCTTCCATTGATGCTGGGGTGCTGCACTTTGATCAGATAAAGCTTGGGGGGGGGGGGTCTTTCAGATTTCGGTTTGATTTTGTTTTAGTAATGTTTAATTTATTTTTGTAAACGGAGAACACAGAACAGTCAAATATAAAGAGCTGATGCAGGTCAGAAACACAAAGTGATTGTTGCACTTTTATGTGGATTTAGTAGCCAAATTAGATAGCTGCCAAATTCTCGGTTAAACTCTACCTTCCTAGAAGTCCAAAACGCAGAAACGTATGTCCCGAGGATCTCTCAATCAGGGTCTGTTAACACGGCAGAGTGGGGGAGCGTGACGTCCCCTCTCGCTCCAACATTACAGCTCCATCACACGAGCAGCCTAACGGCTCATAATGCATATTGTTAAACGCTCTGTTAACTTTATGGCGATAAGAGAGAACTGAACCACTTTCAAGCCCTTCTACGGAGCAAACAAGAAGCAAGTCTTCTCTCGGCGCGAGTGGAGAGCGGCAGATGGGAAACCCAGGGAGGTTACCGAATTCTTTGAGCAGGGAGACGACATTGCCAGTAGATGCTGTTTCTCAAATATCTCACACTGTAGACTTTGAATGCAGCTTGCTTTGAAGGTGTGATGACTTTTGCATTCTCTATTGGAGCGTGAATGAAATGTTGGTCATGTGAAAGAGGTCCAGATGTGTGGAGGCATAGCCAGTTGTTGCTGTTGCACGTGGGTCTGATAGACTTAGTCCAGAGCTCCCACTAACGGGGGGAATATATTTTAAATAATTAAAAAAAACAAAAAACTATTTTAGACCTTTCTGAAGGGACAGCTGTCATAACTTCACAGTTGTCATGAAGGCAGTTCAGAACGTTGTTATTAAACTGATGGCTGAGTGACCGCGAGAAGGGTTTTTAACTCTGTTAAACTCCACCAGGATGTAAGAACATCCTCTCAGTTCTTAACTTCTTGCGGTTAAAGCCAAGAAGACGTTTCATAACAGAGTCCGTGTGCTCGGCTTGGTGCCGGCTACAGTGGAAGGTCTGGTATGAGCTTTCTCTACATTCCGTTATAAAGCATGTGATTGTAATTTTATTTGACCAGTTGAAAATGTATTCCAGTGTGTGTGTGTGTGTGTGTGTGTGTGTGTGTGTAGGCTTGTGTGTGTGAAATGAAATGAATGAGCTGATATTGATGAAGGGTGCCTCTCCTAGGAGATGTATAGTACAGTATGCAATCCCAGCTCTCACTCAATGATAATCAAAACGATAGTGCTGTGTGACGATAGAATCGTTCCTAACTTCAGGGTTTGTGCGCTTGTGCAAGCGAGTGTGTGTGTGTGTGTGTGTGTGTGTTTGACAGGAACTGACTACAGATGGGGTGCTTTCATCTGCACACAATAAGCCAGCTTTACTTGATCCATCAAGCTGCAAAGACGGTACTTTTGTCATTTTAAAAATGGTACATAACATTTGTGAGGACAAGATTTATCCCAAACAAAGAACACATTCTTTGGTTTTAAAAAACAAAAACAAATGTTGGTTCTGGACACAAGCTGCAGTCAGCGGCTCGGTGGCCTGGGATGGATAGAGCTCCTCAGCAAAGCTGGTTCCTGCTTTGTGCTAATGTGAAACCGTCTCCCATCATCGTAGTCTCAATCTGTAGCATGTTCAGGTAGCACTAGTACTGTAGCATCTTATAGCCTCCTCCTCTTCGTAAAGCTTGTCGATGTCATGTCTCAGTTACAGTCCGTAGTGTCAATTGGTGCGCAAACTGTTACTACTATAGCACATTTATTTAGTATTTGCATTAAGCCTCCTTCGGTAGACACGCATTTAGTTTGGCGCAGCGTATGTGTTGGAGAGATGTGGGATAGGCTTGACACGTTATTGAGCTCAACCTTGTCTTCTAAGAAGGTAACAGTTAAAGCGGTGCCTACATCCAGTGGAGCCATGTGGGGTAGAGCGCTGGTTTATCCTTCTTTCCTTTCTTTCCTTCTTTCATTTGATCCACCGTGCCACAGTAGACTTCCTCCATTCATGTAACGCAGTAAACAAGAGTTGATGTGACCCCCTAAAACATGCAGGCCTAATGGAGATAGATATATACATACATACATACATGCATACATACACACACACATACATACATACATACATACACACACACATAAAATACACACGCATGTACACTTTCCACGTCAACATCTACTCGGATAGTTGTACTTTGTCATCTCCATCCTCAACCATATAACTTAAAAAATGAGCTGATGTAGTTTAGCCACTTGTTTGCGAGTGTTTTGATCGAACAGGACAATTTGCACTGTTGTAGATATTTGATAGTATGTGTGACGTATGCAAGAGGAAACAGGCCATCTTCAATAGCCATAATGTTCATCATCGCCCACCTCATGAAACAGGCTTCATGAAGTCCGACTCCCCTCCTCCCTCTAAGAAAAATTGCACCATGGACATGATCTCGCATTTAGTTTTATTCAATTTTAAACTGAGGAGCAGTACAGTGTATGTAAATCAGGAAGTTTGTATATAGAGAATTAATGATTGTAACTGTATGATTGTCTGTAGGGCATTATACTGAAACACATTGCTTACCTCAAGACTTGAGACAAATCTCTCCTTTCTCTCTCCTGATATCAGTCAGACTCTCTCTTTTCGTTTCCTTGTACCTAGGCCTTCTCTCATACCAATTGGACATGTTGTATAATGTGTATTCAACACCTGAAGTACTACGTGATAGCAAACTAACACAAAAGCTGGTCAATGTTATGTGTATTCTATTTAAAGACACATTTATAGACTATATAGGCCCACACACATCTGCAGATGATGAAATCCTTTTTAAGACGATCTTTAATTGGCTGATGTTTACCATGTTTGAAATAAGCTGGTTCTCTTGTGGCTTCAGTGGTGGTACAGTATACTTTTGCTGTGTTTTAAGTGTTTGATGTCCGGGAAACACTCGGAAACAATCCGGTCTTTACAGCTACAGTCACAAACAAACAGTTCAGTATATGATTGTGAAGATATAGACTTGATAAGAGGTCATAATACGTCGTATGCTTTGAAGTTGGTATATATTCAGTATCCAAACTAGACTTAATTTATCCTCTCATATTACCAAAAGTCATATTTTCAGCAGTTGTAATAGATCATATTCTTATGCGTTGATCATCATTTGGAATCTCTTCAGTTGTGACACCAGAACCAAGAGAAGAAGAAAGAAAAAAACAAAAAAAAACGGGTTCTTGCAGGATGTCGGATGCTCTGAGAGGTGTGGTGTGAAGTTCTGCTTCAAGTACAATCTCTTCTCTCAATATCCTGCGCTTTATATGAAGGTGTTTTCCTGTTGCCGTCGTCGTCATGTCCCTCAGAGCATTTTATGACTGTACCTTGATTGTAGAAGCCCTATTTTATACTGAGAGTTATTTCAGAATACAGTATGTGCTGTTGTACATTAAATGTATTGTATGGAGAAAGCTAAATAAATGCTGTTTAAAAACGAATGTGTTTTCTCTGTGGAATCATTGAGCCCTTTGTGGCCTTCTAATACTTTTACTGCCGGCTTCCAACTCCACGCTGTATTTGTCTGTGAGAGAAACAAAACGTTGGCAAAGCTGAAACCGGAAATATTTCCATTTCGGGCCAGACTAAACAAATATGATTTATTGTTAAAGCTGTTGCAGATTGATTTTCTTTCGATTAATCAACTTCTGTTTCAACTCTAATTTTCTTTCCAGCAGTGAGCAGCTTTTATTTGAGAAAGAAAAAAAAAAGCGCACACTAAAATCAAGATTTTATTTTACACACTGACATTTTTTGAATAGTCAAACATTTTGTATAATTATGATGTAGTTTTAAATTGAGACAATATGGTTTGCATCTATATCTTTTCTGTAATTCCGCCACTAGAGTGCACACTTCAATAGATCTGCAACTAAAAGGACTGAAGCTATAAGAGAACATCTTACAGGCTACAGGTGCTACATTATTCAGTGTTTTATGTATTGTAGTACCACAAAATACCCTCATGTACACAAATGGCAGATGCTTAAGTGTGATTTACACATCACAACCTCCATTTGTCAGTGCTTTATCTTTCAAAGTGGAATCGGCTAACTCTTGTGAAATGTAAACCTAATCTTTGTTTATTTCCCCTTTGGTTGTTTAGTTTCAAGTGAACCTCCGGTGCTTCATCTTCAGGGCGGAGGACCAATATTGGCAGACTGTAGACAATCTTGAAGGTCTCACAGTTCAAGGCTCTTCCGTCTGCACTTCTCCTTTCATCAGGGAAACAAATTGTGAATAACAAATCATTGAAGCACTATTAAAAAGAAATTCTCGTAAATTTGCCTCCCTTGTGCCATAACAAGGCCACTACAATGTTGAAATATTTGCAATGATCTCTAGAAAAAGGGGGTTTTGGTCCCGGGTCAAAACATTTGGGATGCCTCCAAAGGAATTGGCGCTGTGCACTTCTCTACATCTGCGCTTAATCAGACTTGTGGCTCCAGTCCCACGCTGCCAGATGACTGGGCTGTGGTGGACCTGCTGAATCACAGCACACACAGGGTGGAAAAAATATTTCTGCCGACCTTTTTTTAATCACTAATCTGTGTCGAAATCTCAGTTCCATAAACTGTTTTTCATATCTGCTAATACTTTTCCGTGCTGTCTGCACTTGTATTGGCATTCTTTGCACGTGGTTTCAGTGGAGAGCAAAGGGCAAATGCAAGACAACTGGAATTGTATCACTCAGGAGCCCATTAAAGGGTAAATAATCTAATACATAGACATCAGTTATGTGTCAGATATCCTGAGGGAGGGTTTAGGTGTCCACATGCTCAGTGAGCGTGAAAGGAAAAGAGCAGGAGGGAGTTTTTTATGTGTTTCCATTCGTACCTAGTGAGCCTGCTGGAGCATTTCTTACTCTCTCTCTCTCTCTCGTCTTCCCTCCCCCAACTCTCTTCCTCCCTTTCTCTCCCTCTCTGATGTCATTGTTTCCTGCCCAGTAGATGCTGACGCTCAGCTCAAGGCTGTGTGCACAGACCCTAAACTTATGCTCTGCATAGGTTGCCTAATAGGGATTTATAGACGCAAATAAAAGTGATGTAATATCCATTAAAAGCAAAGTGTGCTGGTTTCTGTTGTCTGCATTGCAATTATGTGTAAGTGCTAAGTGTAAACAGTTGTCCTATCTAAGGTAATTTAAGGCCTCCAATGCTCATCTGCTCTTTGTGATCATGCATGCTGTCTTTTCTGACACAATGCACTCGAGCCTCTTTTTAAAAAAGCCACTCTGACTACTGCCTTAAGAGTAATCACCATGTGAGTGACATGAATGCTCTGGAGTTCCTGTCTTCAAGTCCTGGATTAGTATTTTTTGTGTTTAAGTGTAGCCAACACTATACCATTCTTGTGTACAACGGTGGGAAGGTATTCATATCCTTTAAGTATGAGCTGTAAAAACACAACATTACATGTGAACAATGCAGGCAGAAAGGCTCCTGGTCGTTTTATGTCAGTGGTGGAAAGTCAGTAAGTACATTTTCTCAAGTATTGTACTCAATTACACATTTTTTACACTTTGTACTTCAGTATAAATCAGAGGGAAATACTTTTGATTTCTGATTCTGATTCTTTTGACTCCACTATATATGTATCTATAGTTATCAGTTACTTTCATAGGCTGTATATAAGAAACACTGAGCAAATTCAGATTTAACATACATAAAATACATCAAGTTATAAACTATGCATTGTTACAGTTAAACTACCTGCCAGTATATGAAATGTGTTTGATCTCGACCAACTACAACAATAAATGTTTTTATTTATAATTACTTCAAAATTTAATTTGTAAAAAGACAAATGTGTTGTTGATTATTTGAAAAGTTACATAGTTCCGCTAATATTTGGAGCTAATATTTGCTAGCTAGTATTTTTTTAACAGTCTCTACTTTAGATGTCAAGTAAACAGCAAATTAGTATAATATTTGCCTATTAATTGTGAAGCAGAATTATCATAATTAAGCAAAGTAAGCTCCTCAAAATGTTACAATCTTCCCTCGATCACTAGATAAGACATCAGTGATCTCTTAACAGGAAGTAGCAGCTAATCCATGTTTTATTAGTAAACAATTGAAGCGATTCACATGGTTTTTTTCCATGCTTTCATTTGGTTTTTATTACTGAAGGCATCTGTATTGTGAAATAGCTTAGGTGAAAAAAAGAGAAAGCCTCTCCCCCACTGCCCAGTATGTGTCTGTATCCTTGCCAGTTGAAAAGGCCTCTGCTTGACCTTACTGTAGTCAGAATTATCTGCTGCATTTTTCGCCGCCTCAGTCATATCCTCCATAGATGTGTTTTTCTTCAAATCAAATTCTGCACAGCTTAATGTTTGCATGCTTGGGTGTTTCTCTTGCCTGTAAATGTGCTCATTGTGAAACCTCACCACTTTACTAGAATTAAAAGGACTTCAGTGGGCCGTGTAGTGTGTTGATTCTCTCTGACATTCTCTCCAAAACAGTGGAGAGAGGAGGATGGGGGGGGGGGGGGTGTAAGCGCCAAATCTTTAGGTTGTTATTCCGTCATGTGCTCAAACAATTCTCGCGTCCTGTTTGTGCTCCTCCATGGCCCCCTTACCGATCACTACTTTTTCTTCCGAAAAGAGAAAGCGAGCTACGCAACACCATGAAAATACTTTATGGTCTACTCCTGCCTGTTTATATTTTCTTTGAATTCCTCCCTCTGATGATTAGTGGAGTTTGGTTTTGTTAACACACACAAAATCCCTGTCCTCCCCCTTTTGCCCCTTCCTCCTCCTCCTCCACCTCCTGTTGTGGAATTCGATGTCCCAGTCGCTCCTCTCTCCTGCTTTTCTGCTCTGCGGTAAGTCTGCAGAGCAAAGGCTTTCTGCCGAGGAATTCAACGGGAGTTGTGGACAAAAAAGGAGCTGGCTTCTTTCACAAACTCAAGAGGTGCAAGCCCTGTAGTCTGAGGTCTCATCTGCCCTCCCTCAGCCTCCACCCCCCCCGTCTCCTGTCTGAGCCCTGCACCTGTTCTGACTCGTCAGCCAGGTGAAGGGGATCCTCTGGCCTTGTGCTGCTTTTTCAGCTGACCATAGCTGCAGGGCAATTAGGAACCCAGTCTAGTCATTTTACTGGATTGCTGCTTTGCTCTGTATCCCTCTATCTGTGTCTCTCTCTATAACCCACCTCCCTGCATATCCCTACCGCCCTCCCACTCCATCTCCGTCTAGCCCAGTCTGTGCCTGGTTGACAGTGTGGCTGTGAGTACGTGTGGAGCTGCAGACATTTCCGTGCTGGAGTGAAGGTGTGGATCACATTGCAAAGACACAGGGGAGGAAAGGGTGAAACAATTCATTCTTCCGGTGGACAAAGTTGGATTGAGCATTTGGATTAAAGTAAAGACTACAAACCAAAAATTCTGCAGTTGGAAGAGCAGCAGGTATGAAAAGCCAGACCGTGGTTGTGTCTGCGGCTCTGCTGGCCCTGTGCTGCCTAATGATCCCAAGAGGAGGGGAGAGCGCTGGGGGGATAATTTCTCTCCGGCAAACTGAAGGGGAGAAGCAGGCAGAGGATCAGCTGCGAGACGAGTCCCTGGATGATCCAGAAAGTGAGCAAGGACTCACAGTGGACTCACTGGGAAGCAGCAACAAGGACAAGAGAGACACAGAGGAGGCTGCACGGGTTGGTGAGTGGAGAAAATTCTAATTTGAACACACACAAAAATACAGATATGTTACACAGACAAAACATCGAAGCCATTCAGGTATGGTCTGAGCTCCAGCAGGACATGGGAGAGCAAACACAGACACAAACACACACCAATTCAGTGTCTGAGAGCTCCAACTGGCATGAGAAAGTCCAGGTGCTCACCTGTCCACCACTACTTCTCCACAGCAGAGAATAAAAAGGATAGACTGATTATTTTTGGCTCACACCAAACAAGAGAGGAAGACACACAGTCAGCATCTTGCGGACAGATTTTATGACACTGACCATTTTCCACTGCCTCTGCATAGTGCCTATAACCCTGTATGATTAATGCACTCTGGTGCACATTCACGGTGGGAGAATGGACATGGAAGACTGTTGCACATTTGTAATAAACCTCTTTTCTGGAGCTTTCTACCGAAGCTTTAGATATAATATACTTCAATGAGTCTCACTGGGTTTATGGTACGTCGGTAAGATGTTGCTGAGGTGATAGTGAAATGTTTATTGAGTATCTAGACAGATTTGTGTCATTAAAAATGAAGTGTACTAAATGGAGCATGACTAATGGAAAGAGAGAGAGAAGTTTTTTTTCCATGAAAATGCCTCAAGACTTCAGACAACCTCAGAAGGAAATACTGATGGAACTGAAGCAACCGCTGAAATGCATCTTGTCTGGGTTTTCGCTGGTAGCATTGTGTTTTGATATTGCAGGAAAGAAATCGTTGCATAATTCAATTCTCACATTGCTCGTAAATGATACTAAGCGTCATATAAGCTTTTACTTCAGTACTCAACATGAATGTGCTTTAATTGATTTAGAATTTGATAGGTATTTACAGATTATGGACCGTTACGAAATATATTAGTAACAGCTGAAGAGGGATCATTTTAAAGTCACGATGAATGAAAAATGCTCCCTTCACCCTTTTATATCACATCCCCAGTCATACTATGCCCCTATTTAACAATATACGCAAAAAAGATTAAGGAAAAAAGATTTGTATTTTTACATCAAAATGGAAAAATGCTTTTCTTCCTGTGAAACAAAATATGAAGTGTGCTTAAGTAAGCTAGTACCGCCCAATTTCAACCAATAACATCCTGACATCCATCCGCCAATTAATCTGCACATTTTGGCGACAAAGGAGGTGTGTGTGGGGAGCTACTTTCTCAGCTGGTCCACTTATTATTGGTCAAATATTCAGTTTCACTGGGGATACGTAACAATGCAGACGCTAAAGTGATCTAACTTCTGTTTTACTTTGAAATCAGTTCAGGGGGATATTAGGGGAAAAAGGACTATGATTTTGCATTAATATCCATTCAGATCATGAGTGTTGTGTGCTTATTTTGATTCTGAACAAAAGTCAATTAAGTGAGTTTTCAAAGACCTCTTCCTTCTTTGTTTTTCCAGGTTTTCCAGGCAGGTTGAGGAGAGCACCAGATGAAGGCAAAAAGAAGAAGAAGGACAAGAAGAAGAACAAAGAGCCAAAGGACCCCAATGCCACCAAAAAGCCTAAAACTGCCAAGAAGGGAAAGAAGAAGGACAAGAAGACAACCACAACTCTACCACCAACCACAACAGGTGAGGACAGAACAGAGCAGGGACCCAAGTTTCTACTTGAAGGACTTTGACGTGAATGGATGTTGTTGACTTTGTGTCCGTCTGCTGCCTCCAGTGATCCCGACTGAACCACCAACTGAACCACCCACTGAACCACCCACTGAACCACCCACTGAACCACCCACTGAACCTGAGTCATACACAGACTATGCCTATCCTGACGGTGGTGAGTAACACACACCCTCCACAGCACTTTATTTGGACCTATACCTGTGACTTAGAAAAGAAACTGAAACACCCTCCTCCTAAGTACTGGGCTGGTACAACTCATTCCAACATTAATCAGGCAAAGCATTAACAATTTAAAGTGGAACTCCAACCATTTATAACATATAACTCTGATTACAGGTCTTTAAGTCTATTGTGGCTCCAGAGGGAGCCGTGTGTTGCCTGATAAATTGCCTCAAGTGAAATGAAAAAAAATCTGGGAATGTGTTGTTGGAAAGAAGAGAGTTTACCAGACCTCTGTTGTCCACTCCTCGTCTCTGCTTAAGGCTATAGACGCTACATTAGCCACCACTAGCGTAGCACCGTGGATATCACGGGTGTCATGTTTTGACAAGGAAAAATATTGTGTGGAGTTAAAAAGCTAAAACATATAAGTCACATTACCTCAGCAACAATTAAAAAAACACTACCCTTCCCCTTTTCTGACCTCCCCTCCTCCCTCTATTGAAATAACAATTAGATAAAAAACAATTTTGTTCCAGGATGCACAAACAAAACTAATTGCTTTACTGCTTGCTTCAGTCTACATCCAATAACAGTTGCTGTATCATATTTCTGATAAAGTCTTATCATTTGTTTGTAGTTTTGCATATTTCAGTAACATCCGGTTTAAAATGAAAAGCCGTGTAAAATAAAATAAAATAGATTAAAACTTGAGAACCATACAAAATGTTCCAGTCTAGACATCTTTCCATCTGTTTCTCTGGCAGACAATGATTACTGGAAACCAGACGATGACTACTGGGATGCAGAGCCCACACCACCCAGGCCTCAGCCCAAGACTCCGACCACAGATCTTCCGTACGACGACTGGGACCCGGAGGAGGAAGACCCAGCTGCCCCAGTGACAGACGCCTACGAGGACTACTGGAAACCAGAGGAGAGAGAGCCGTCCACTCTGGCGCCTGACACCTATGAGGACTACTGGAAACCAGAGGAGAGAGGGCCATCCACTCTGGCGCCTGAGGCCTACGAGGACTACTGGACACCAGAGGCTCCCGTGACTGATAACTATGACAGCTACTGGAAAGAGGTGGACCCGACGCCCCCTGCCCCTGAGGTTGATGGGAAGGCCGGGACAGATGACACCGATTACTGGGACTCCACATGTAAGTCTGACTCTCTGTTTCCTCCTGCTTTGTTTTGAGGATGTTTGTGGGATGACAGTTTATTACACATGAATCAGAGGAGCGATGAGACGATTATGATCAATTAGGACTGTTATTGTTGCATTGATTGTTGAGATTTGTTGCTTTTTAGATAACTTAAAAGTTTTAAAGTAGACAAATTGAAGAAATGAAATTGAGCTAACAACTATTTACATATATTGCCGAGAGTTGTCTAATTCAATTTCTATGTGCTTTTATTTTTCGCTAGCTGTTTTCAGGTTTGATTCTAGCACCACACCGCCTCATCACTGCTGCTTGTACTGTGTCACTAACAGCCAAACAGGGATCAGTGGTTTGAAATGTGTTTCAAAGAAAGAGTGCAGGAAGAGGTTTTAAAGGATCTCCATCTTGGATAATACTGTTTTAATTTAGATCAAAGAGAAGACACATGTGACTCATCTGAGACACTTGAAGAAACATATTACACATGTTTGACAAAAGGTGGTTTCTGGGGAATTTTAACTCAATACAATGCATGCTGGGTAGTACGCAGTCAGCCCACAATGTTTCTAAACAACTTGATTTGATGTATTTGATAAATGATCGGTTGGTAATAAATAAATCTGCTGAAGATTTGAAGTTATCGTGACTCACCCACTGTTGTTGAGACCGGCTTTCTTAGTTGCCACAATTGAACATTTTCAGTTCAAGTGGTCTTTATTTTCAAAATATCAGACAATAAATTGTCATTTTTACTATGAAAAGAAGTCAATGTTTACGTCTTGACATGATCAGAAAACAATATATCTGAAACAATATTTAGACCGAGGGACACTTAAACTATGTGAGGATAATACCATATGATTCATGTCATGTCTGTGACAACATAAACTGACTGATATCTACATTTTCCGGCCCCTGACAATCAAAACACATTGTTTTGCCCAAACTAAACTTTCAAGCTACAAACTTCAACTAATGGTACAATTATCCTTCAGGATCTAATCTACAGACTGCATGATGAAAACTTTTATGATCGTCGCTATCTCTTCCAGCTTTTGTCCACCAGACGTCCTCAGTGACTGCACTAGTTTTTTCCACAGGCTCAGATGTAGGAAACAGTGTGTTGTGTGGCTCTGTGACACTCATCTGGACCGGACTGACATGTTGTCATTACTCTGTGTTTCCAGCATACTGCACTGTACCTCATGCTCTCCCAACAATTCCGCTGATTCATTCACACTCCCCCGTTTCTGTCACTTTCTCATGTCTCTCAGTCTGCTTCTGACACTTAAATGATTTCTGTTTGACCTTTTATGGTTTTTTATTTTGTTTTATTTTTTTCCAATGTTGCAGTTGAGGTGCCGGAGAATCTTCCATTCCCTGATGGTGAAGAGGTCAGCCCTGAAATCAAAGTAGAAACTCTACCAGGTAACTGTCACTTCAAGTCTATTAACATCCATTAATTGAGATGTAAAATTCTCAGTTAGGCAGTTAACTAATAAGAAATCTCTGTAGACTTGTGACGCAGATGAAATGTATGTTCCATCTGTGCCTTTTGGCTGGAAGCAGATGAGAAATCATAAGCGATTCAACATATGGGAATAACATAATAGTGAGTCTGTGAGCTAACCTGCCCTACTTTTCAAACACGAGTGGGTGGGTTTACTCGGTTCCACAGTCAACAAAACTTTCCTCCGTTTTGATGTGGAGTTAAAAAAGAGCCCTGTCATCAGTTCACAACTCTGTTATGATACTTGTAAATGTAAATTTAAAGATTTAACAACTTAATTACACAGTAGGCGTCGCAGTGGCATCTAAATAGAAAAAACAGTTGTGGTTAAATAAATCAGGGCTGTACTAACCTGTAAAAGTTTATTAAATCATGTCATCTTATGAATTGTCACTTGTAATGTAGCAGTGCCTTTGACTGACTGAACGAGTTATCTGACTTGATGTTTATTTTTATTCTTTTTACACAGAGGAACCCACTGCCACTCCTCCCCATGAGGGAACGTGGTATGATGATTACGACGAATATGGAATGAGTATGTCCACACACACACACACACACACACACACCTAAAACATATCCATACTGAATGTTTTATATTAGATTCAATAGTTAAGCTGCAGTGAGACTTCCTGCCAACAACACAGAGAGCAAGGAAAAGGAATAAGCAGCAGTCGGGTCAATAACTTTCCAGATTTTTAAATCCTTTGGGAACGTTTTACTGTTTACGGTTCCTAATGACTTTCAAAAACTTGGTGACTTACAGTATATACTGCTGGCAACAGGAATACTGTTTTTTAGGTATTTCTATAAAAGCCATCCTTGATTTTCCACAGGGAGGAAAGAAGACGAGAATGACGATAAATGGATGGAAAAGGAGAGAGAGAGAGCAGAAAAAGAAAGAGCAAGGGAAGCGAAAGGTAAGAGAACTCAGATGTGAATCTTTTTTTTTTTTCATCCTTACACAACACCACTCTGTACAGTCATGTCAGAATACATTCAATAATGTAGTTGCCAAAGCAAAGAACACAGACTGTGACCCGAGTGCAAAAGTACTAACAGATAACAGCTCTAAGGTGTTCCCTCCCTTGGATCACATTTCTGTCATAAGAGAATGCAGATGTTGATTTAACTTGCATCGAAGGGACATAAGTTCATCCCTCTGCAACTGAATGGAGATTGTTCCAAAGAAGTTCAGAAAGCTCTTGTGAGCTAACGGAGAATGATCCACATGTAGTGGATTAGTGCGAGTAATAAAGGAAAGAGGCAACAGGGGAGAATTAGCAGGCAGAGGATGTTGCAATGCAGGCTCTAAAGCGAGGTTAGCTGGTGGTTAAGGCTGGAGAGTAGAGACGATGATATACGACACCGTCAGGACTGGCGTCAATAGGGCACTTCCTGTGTGGACGGTTCACTGCTATCTGGGTTTAAGCTGAAAAGCATTCTTACCTGATATAAGTAAAAAAATGTCTGCAGCTTGAAGCACTCATCTGTGACACAGAGGCACAGAGGCAGATGTGCATCTGCACCTAAACATATCAGTGTGTGTCAGTGGGTTCGTGTGTTTGTCCATTTGTACATGTGTGTACAGTCGGCCATTGAGCTTACAACCTGTTTCGCATTCCCACTCTCAGAAAGACTTCTGGCAGCCATACTACCAACAATAAACTACATTATGTGCCACAGAGTTCAGTGTGTGAGAATATGAATAATGATAATGATGTGTGTGATTCAGCAGTCTTCTTCAGTATTGAACTCCGCGGATGAGGAGGATGTGAGTTTGATCCGAGCACATTAGGACTGGGAGGGAAATCACAACATCTGGGATTTCTCTAACCCTGGGGACACATTTTGACATCAAACAAAATGTACAAAATAACGATGAGTTCTTCGATGTGAGAGAGAAAATATTCATCAATTTATTTGGCATTAAGACTGTTTTTCTGACTTCTGCCAGAGAGAGCACAGAAGCTGAAGGAGGCAGAGGAGCGGGCCAGGAACAGACCACGTGTTTTCAAAGAGCCAAAGAGTAAGTCAACGTCTGTTCAGATCTGGAAGCATCGCATAAGCTTTTGCGATAATTAACATCTCACTTGATTTTCTCTGGCAGAGTGTCCTCCCCTGGGGATGGAGTCCCATAAGATCGAGCCAGACCAGCTTTCAGCCTCCTCTATGTCTCAGTATAGTTTTGCACCTCAGAGGGCGCGCCTCAACATGCAGGTACACAACAATCAGAGCAGGACCGCCGTGGTCTGAACGCTTACATATAGTACAGCTATCACTTACATACCGCCAGGCCTTGAAATAAACACCAGCTACCAGCCACATGTAGGAAAATACTGTTATGGCTGAGTCTGTTGCTTCCATTAGCTACTTTGGGTGTTTACGTTCACAATCTTTATAGTCTAAGAATACATTTTAGCAGCTTAGTTAAATCGGCCAATGAATCTTCAAGTGCTTCTGCTCACCGCTGCTGATTTTCTTTTAGTCATCATGGCATCTGTGATGTATGAGCTCAACGACTTGCATGTCAATGCATAATAAGCTCATATTTGAAGGATATGTGTGAGCTCAAAATGCAACTGAGTCAAAGGACCCATCAGCATGTGTTCTGGTCTCTGTGGCTCCCAGGGCTCAGATGATGAAGAAAACATGAGAGGTGGAGCGTGGTGTGCAAACTCAGAGGACAGAGACCACTGGTTTGAGATTGATGCTCGCAGGGAGACGGAGTTCACAGGAATCGTAACACAAGGACGGGACTCTTTGAACGAGTAAGACGCAAACACACAGATGAGTACACTGTATTTTCCTTTTCTAAATCTAACATGTTGCCCACATATTGTCTTGTTTCAGGAGTGACTTCGTGAAGTCCTACTTCCTGGCCTTCAGCAATGACACCAGAGAATGGATCACCATCCATGATGGATACACTGACTGGGTGAGCTCACCTAAAATGACTTCACTTATTAGGCACCATGTAAAATGTTTCCCTGACTCATCTTCCTCCCACGTATCTCCCCCCTAGTTGTTCTTTGGAAACAGTGATAAGGACACTCCAGTGATGAACCAGCTGGCAGAGCCCGTGTCGGCCCGTTACATGCGGATCATCCCTCAGAGCTGGAACAGCTCTCTGTGTATGAGGCTGGAGGTCCTCGGCTGCCCCCTACCCGGTGAGCCTCAAACACATTAACATGCTTATAGATGCACAAACACACACACTGAAAACCACAAAAGGAATAACACATTTTCTTCTTTTTTTGCTTCACAGATCCAGCGGATGTTCAGTTCAGGCAAAACGAAGTCACTCCAGTAGATTACTTGGAGTTCAAACATCACAGCTACTCAGAGATGGTTTCAGTGAGTATCCTGAAATTCCACAGGAAATCCTCCGTTATTTTCCCAAAGAAGAAAACGAAATAATTTCCCAGACACAATTAAACATTTAACCAGGAGGTCTGCATGTATCCACTTTAATAAAGACTGATATTAAAACCCTGCAGAGGGCTCATTCTTTCTAAACGTGTTGTTTCAGCCATCAGACGCAATGCTCATCACAAACTTTCAATAGCACTATTGATGATTTTTAGTGCTTTCTCACACAGTTAAATCAGATTGACCTTTTGGTAATTCAATAACCTGCAGGGATTTGTAGCTGCTGTGACAGATCTGTGAAAAAGGTCTGCTAATGGTTTAAAAGTAGCCATTAGCTGTTACATAAATAATGTCTAGCTATAATGATATATTTTTGCACACTGACCGTTTTCATAATCTCACGTGTTCAGTTCATGAAGTCAGTAAATGCGGAGTGTCCCAACATCACCAACATCTACAGCCTGGGCCGCAGCTCCAAGGGACTGGATATCATGGCCATGGTCATCTCTGGCAACCCCACAGAGCACGAAATAGGTGGGAATGTGTTCATACAATCATGAAACAGGCAGATCGAAATATTCTTTAACAGTTAAATAAAGCGCATGAGGACTGTAGGTCCTCGATGGCACCAACGATGATTGCTGTAAATCCATATAAACACCAGGTGGAAGGCAGCAGATTAGAGTTAATGGACAAACAGCTACAGTCTTGTCCATTTGTCTCTGCAGGGGAGCCAGAGTTTCGCTTCACGGCAGGTCTCCACGGAAATGAGGCCGAGGGTCGGGAGATGATCCTGCTTCTCATGCAGTACCTGTGCAAAGAGTACAAAGACAGAAACCCCAGAGCCATGCGGCTGGTGGAGGGAATACGCATCCACCTGGTGCCATCGCTCAACCCTGACGGACATGTGGAAGCTTTTGAAGTGGTCAGTGATTATGATCATTAAAATCATATGTTTCTACTCAACTGGCAAACAAACGAGAGAGAAAAAAACAGGAAATTCCAGTGAATTATGCTGTGGTAGTGGTCTGGGATGACTGCTCCATGTCTCGCTTGTCAAACTTCTCGCCCGCAGGGATCGGAGCTGAGTGGATGGACCACTGGACACTTCACTGACGACGGCTTTGACATCTTCCAGAACTTCCCCGACCTGAATAGTATCCTGTGGGATGCTGAAGATAAGGGCATGGTTCCCAAACTCACCCCAAACCATCACATGCCCATACCAGAGAACTTGGCGACCAACAGCTCGGTAAGGAGGAGGGTACTGTTGTGTCTTACGACCAGCTATTCATAAAGTCTGGGGACAGAAGACCTCTGGTTAAGGGTTGTTGGAAGGCAACTGTTCCCTTGAAAGCTCCTCTTCTCATATACAAGTGCTTTTTTTTTTACTATACAATGGATTTGAAAGTCCTTTGTACTTTTACAAAGGTGGTCTAGTCAGTAAACTAAAATGAGGGTATACTGTGCTTGCATCGTTCTTCCTGTTTTTGTTCCAGATTGCTGTGGAGACTAAGGCCATAATCTCCTGGATGAAAAGCCATCCATTTGTGTTAGGCGCAAACTTGCAGGGCGGAGAGGCAATTGTAGCTTACCCTTATGACAGCTTGCGTCTCAACAAGCCTGCCGAGAGCCAAAAACCCCGCAGCCGCAAGAAGAGACAGTATGACTTTTCCTCTCCTTTTGCAACTGCGTTCTGTTGTTGTTGTTTCCCAGCTTTACACACTTTATCATTTTCCATAACTCTCATGTTTCCTCGTCTTGTCTCCTGCATAGCTCTCCATGCACCGCTTACAATCATTCATTAACAATCATACTAAATAAGTCAACTAGAATCATTTCTTACAGGTATGAAGAAGAAGCATTTGATGTGACAGAGTGGGGAAGGGGCTACCAAGAGGAGCCAGAGGAAGACTGGAGAGGAAGGGGATATGCAGAGCCAGAAGAGGAGAGGAGGGGCCAGGGCTACGACCAAGGTTACGAACGTGGCTACGACCAAAACCAAGGCTACGAACGTGGCTACGACCAGAACCAAGGTTACGACCGTGGCTATGAACAGAACCAAGGTTACGAACGTGGCTATGACCAGAACCAAGGTTACGAACGTGGCTACGACCAGAACCAAGGTTACGAACACGGCTATGACCAGAACCAAGGTTACGAACATGGCTACGACCAAAGCCAAGGTTATGGCCATAGAGAGGAAGAAGAGGACGATAGAGGAAGAAGCGCCGGCTACCAGTACTCTGAGCCCGAGGATGAGCCTCGGGTGATCGCAGACGAGTCCCTCTTCAGGTGGCTGGCTGTCTCTTACGCTTCCACACACCTAACCATGACACGCAACTTGCACGGCTCCTGCCACGGAGACACCGATGCAGGGATACACGGCATCGTCAACCGAGCCAAATGGAAGCCAATCACAGGGAGTAAGTAGAGGCCATTCGGTTTAACATATCTTTTAAAGGTATTTTAGCTTTCTGTATGGATTTATAACACACCCTGGTGGACAATATGTGCAGTGCTACCTTTGGGGTTCATGTGTATGTGTATGTGTGTTTGTCACCACCTCCCCAGGTATGAATGACTTCAGCTACCTACACACCAACTGTTTTGAGTTGTCCATCTTCCTGGGATGTGATAAGTTCCCCCATCAGAGTGAGTTGGCGAATGAGTGGGAGAAGAACAGAGAAGCAATGCTCATCTTCATGGAGCAGGTCAGTCACTCACACAGCATGTGATATACAGTACACCGTCTGCTGTACTGTAATACAGATATTAAAATGGTACTCAATCCTGGCAACATGAGAACGAGTTACGTTCCTCTCTTTTGAACTTTTCCCCCTCTGTATCTAGGTGCATCGTGGCATCAGAGGCATTGTGAAGGATCTGCAGGGGAACGCCATTGCAAATGCCACTGTGACTGTAGAGGGGATAGACCATGATGTCACTTCAGGTCTGGTGAAAGACTTCCTCTTTTCTCCTCCTTATGTCTAATGTGTGTTAACTCAGGTGCTTTAACGTACAACGTAGCCCCCTCTGTGCTCAAAACAAAATGCCCGTCCTCTGTCTGTCATTGCAGCACCAACAGGGGACTACTGGCGGCTGCTTAACCCAGGAGAGTACCGCGTGACTGCTCGAGCTGAGGGCTTCTCCCCTGTGACCAAACTCTGTGTGGTGGGTTACCAGCCAGGAGCCACCACCTGCAGCTTCAACCTGGCCAAGTCCAACTGGGACCGCATCAAACAGGTACGGCACTTCCATCCTGGAATGACCACACCCTAAAGACTTGTCAATCTAGTACGAAATAAAGTGTCTTACTTCATTTCTCTGCAGATCATGGCCCTCAATGGCAACAAGCCAATTCGACTCAGCTATGGCAACAACAGAGCACAGAACCCTGCAGTTGCTACAGGAAACAGGCGTGTGGTCGATGGCAACACCGGGTATTCATCGAATTCAGGAGTCAGCACCGAGCGGCAGAGGAGGCTGAGGATAGCTCGTCTCCGTCGCCTTCGGCAGCAGAGATTACTGAAGTTAAGATCGACGACGTTACCCCCGACCACAACAATCACAGTTCCCACAACACCAGAGACCACCACATCCTGGTATGACTCGTGGGCCATAGGGGAGGGACAGACTTCGACACCTGGTGGTTTCACAGACTCCATCCTGGATTATAATTATGATTACAAGATTGATGACTATTAACCTTAAAACACACACACACAGCCCAGTTCAGTAAACGGTCCTTTCCTAGAGGTAGTTCCCATCGTCATGTTGTCCTGAGCAGGCTGATAACGAATCAAATGAGGTATCCTGTCTTTGTATGACACGTGAGCAATGGGAACATACAGAGTATTAACTGTAGTTGTATAAGGATAGTGTATCTATTACTTAACAAAATGCCTCTGCGCACAAATTGACCCTGTTTATTATAATAGTATTTCTGTTTGACGGTTTATGCTGCATTTTTCAGTCTTTTTGCTTCATGAAGTTTATTGTGAATGCACATTAAAAAAGAAGACATGACAATTTATTTTTACTTGGCAGAAATATTTTTTACAGTATGAACAGTCACTGGAGGTTTAAAAAGCATTTGTTCAAACTTGGTAACAGAGTCAGAGGAGGGAAGGAGTCTTGTTGCCTCAGCTGGAGTAGAGTTATTTTTCAAATAAAGGCTTGTTAATACACATCGCTTGTCTCCTTTTTCTCTCTCACAAAAAGAAAACAACACACCGTAAAGGAAACACTAGAAGTAACCCTGTAAGGCAGTTCTAACAGCTTTTCATTGACCATTATGATACTGGACAGCATCAGTGTAGCGGTCTTGGCCCAATGTTGTTGTGACTCCTCTGTGGTCAGGTGAAATCAGTCTTAATATTCATCAACAGTGTCCAAGAAGTGACAGCACATTTTCCTGCATGTGGATATGGATCCTCAGTGGCTGACATTCATCTCACTTTCCTCATCGTCGTCAGCAGAGAAGGCCGAGAAGCTGACTGGCTCACACGCAAGAGTGCGTAAATTGACCAGGCATGCCGTTTGGGTGCTGCTGAAGTGTGGAATAGTAACCAAAAGGATTTCCTGGCCATCAGGACCTGGCAGGAAGAGAAGAAGAAATGTAGTAGTACATTAGTAAGAAGGAAAACCATTCATATGCAATAACAGAGCTGAAACTAATGTCTGTTTAGAGTCTAAAGAAAGACCATTGTCCAACAAGTTTCTTATGTGTACATCAACATAACACACACTGACCTTTGATGAGCTTGGACTCAAAGGTTGGGGCGTTGCCACTGAAGTAAACGTGGGGACACTCCTCCAAAATGAAAGGGTCTTTTTGGTAAAATGGGTAACAACCTGACACAAAATGTAAAGTAAACAGTGTGAATACTTAAAACCGATCAGCCAGAAGGTTTGTGTTTTATTCTGCATCAACTGGTCCGACTAACCCAGAGTATCCGGTGCAGTAGGGGCCAGGTGTCTGAGTCGTAGCGTTTCCTCCAGGATTTCCAGGTGATTGTCCATGCTGCTGTACCTCTGAATGTCACAGACGTTCTGGCCTGATGTGCCCAGGAACCTTTTTGGAAGACACACACAAAGTCTCAAATATCCGCACGCTAACTTGGGATTCAAAGCTAAACGCAAGATGGAGGATAGTGACTGTGTTTGATGATGCTTACCTCACTCCATCAATCTTAGCTTGGTGTGGATTAGAGACCAACTGTAGTGTGGGGTACACGGAGGACAAGGGGAACATGCAGCGGTGGAGGGGCTGCTGAGGGAGAGTGTAGTTGGTGGGGTCGTGGTGGCCGGGCATTACATCCACTGGAACTGAGGCCTGGAAGGACAGGAGGCAGTGACACACATATCTATATTATCACGTTTTGGTTTTTTAGTTCATGAAGATTTTCTTTACACTTATGTCGAGCCATCTTTGGTCACAGGCATCAGTTATCGCTAATGTTTATAACCTCGGAACTTCATTTATTTAATATACATATGCATTTTGGGGCTGCTGCAGCTAACACTTATTCAGTCAATCATTTTTTTCATTTAATAAATAAATTGTTCTCAATTAAATTTCCTTTTATCGACTTATCATTTAATCAACTCTTTCAGATCTAACTTTTCTTATTCCGGCAGATAAATAGTGAAACATCACTCTAAATGTTATGCCATTTAATGTTGATGCATCACAATTTTGTAAATATTTTGGAAAATCAATTAAGACACCGTTTATGGATGGACCAATTGAGAACAGGAATAATACAACCACAGATATTGAAGAGATAGCAAACACAGTGTAAACAATATGGCAAAATATCTGAGGGTATGCAAATACGCATCGACTTAAACAGCATATAGAGCATTATCATACTGCACAAAATAAAAATGTGTACGTGTGTGTGTGTGTAAAGGGGGAAGCATACTCACCACCAGCTGACACAGCAGCTCATCCAGCAGACGGATGGCCTCCACGCTGCCAGCCTGAGTCTTCTTGGTGAGGTACTTGGGCTTGGCACATAGAGAGGATAAAACAGCTGTTTTTAAGTGAGCCAGTTCATGTTTGCTTCTTTTCTAAAAAGAAAAACTAATAAAAAAAAATGAATAAAAAAAAAAGTGTGACGAGGTTAAACCAGTTCCAGTTACCTTCGTTGATGCGTCCTTGTCCTGGGTGCTTTCGCTCAGGAGGTTTCCAGCCAGTAGGACCCGGGAAATTGTTGCTGCCCCACTCTGCTCCCCCTGGTCACCAAGCTGACCAGTTATCATGTCAACCAGCAACTGTAGCCCCAGCATGCTGTCAGCATGACTACTGCCGAGACCAAGTCCTGAGACCAGGAGCACAAACCTGGATGGGGACAGACAACGGCATCAGAATAAATGATCACCGAAGGCTGGGATTTAAACTCTGTGTGTGTGTGTGTGTGTGTTTACCTGTCAGAGCTGAGCGCAGGTCTTGGTGTCTGCGGCGGAAGATCAGCCATGCAAAAGTCCTCAACTGTGAACTTGCCATCATTCTTCTCGGCTCCATATATTGCAATAACACTCCCTGAAAGAGAAACAGAAGAGGCAGCATGACATACAAGAGTCCATGGCTGCGTTTGAGTGATGTAATCCTTTAGTGATGCGATAGTGACATCCTTCTTCACCTGTCCTGAACTCAAGAAACATCCTCACCTGTGACAAACTTGTCTCTGTCAATTTTGCCCTTCAGCTTGATCCTCTGTAGCTCATCCTCCAGAATCAGCTCATCCGTTTCACTGATGTATTTGGCTCGTGCAGGCTGAGGCAGCAGGTTGTGCTAAAGGAGAGGGGAAAAACAAAGAGACTTTATCCATGACACCTGCCAGGTTGTCTGGTATGTAGAAGGTCAGCTTTTGAATTCGGCATGACCGCTGACCTCCTCGCTGATCTCTTTCAGAATAGATGGCTGCAATTCCATACGCTTGAACAACGTTCCCACAATGCAACACTGCTCCCCTGTCTCAAGATCACACAGCTTCCTGATGAGCACATCTGGTCCTGTCAGAAACAGAAGGAGACAAACCGATTAGAAAGTACATTTCAGATGCTTTAGGAGTTCCCAGGTGTAGACTGAGCTTACCCCACTTCTGCTGGGCTCTCTCTGAGAGCAAGGGCCTCATCTGCATGAGCCGTGCTGCGTAAATGTGAGCATACTGGCGACTGAAGCTCCGCTCCCCGACTGTGTAGCGCTCGGAGCATAGACTGTAGGCCAGCGACGTCCTCTCAAACAACGGCCCCTGGTCCTCGGAGGCAGGGCGGCAGAGCAGAGAGGAAGCCTCCTTCTGGGCGCTTATGTCGGAAAACATGACTGTCCTGAAGAGGAAGCACGGGGGAAATTAGCACACTTAATGTGTGCCGTGCATGTTTATAAGGTGGGGTTGACAGGCTTGCAGGTCAATGGTTTTAGCAGAACCTAAGGAGTTAACGTTAATGACAACTAACGCTACTGCCGTCTAAGCGCTTACAAAACATGGCGACTGTTTTTAGAATATCGCTGCTGTAACAGATTTAACAATCTTACCTTAGTAGATGGAAAGTCACGCTTTAGATGTTCGTCGGTTTACATCAGCTATTAAGTTATATTTTTAGATATCACTGGTTGTTGTTTTCCTTTTCAGTGAGCGAACGAAACAATTCCCGCGAAATCACCCGCTCAACGTGAACGTGTAGTCTCGCGAGAAACTGTTCACAGCAACAAAAAACAGTCAAAAACGAACTAATGTACCAGAAACGTTAACGAAAATTGCCTACATGAACGTTAGAAGAAGCAGGGTTGTACACACTGAACGTTGTATAATGTAAGATTTGACAAAAAGCCGACACCGGTCAGATTTGAGTGTTTCTCGTACCGTCGCACAGAGAATACGTCACACATTTATCTACATGAGTCGCATCACAATGAGGTCACAATAACGTCGGGGCAGCACGCAGCGTCGCCATTTTTGCAGCTCTTTGTGCGCCAGTCTTTGCTAAGAGTTTACGTGTTTTTGTCGAGCGATTCTTCGACTCGGGTTTTAAATCTTTTCCACAAAATGCAAGGAAACAGAGGCCCACAGCAGAACCACGGGTCCTACCGCCCGGGAGACCAGAAAAAGCCCGGAGGAACAAATGCCAACGGCCAGCAGACGGAGCACCGCCGCCCGACCAACCCCAACGAGGCCTTAACCCTGGATCTGCATAGCTTCAGAAAGCCCGGTGAGAAAACCTTCACCCAGCGCAGCAGGCTGTTTGTAGGGAACCTACCAACCGGAATTACCGAGGAGGATCTCGAGAAGCTGTTCAACAAGTATGGCAAGGCAAGTGAAATCTTTATCAACAAGGAAAGAGGTTTCGGCTTCATTCGCCTGGAGACCAGGATCATAGCAGAGATAGCCAGAGCCGAGCTGGATGATGCTCCGTTCAGAGGGAGGCCCATACGGGTGAGGTTTGCAACACACGGTGCTGCTTTAACTGTGAAAAATCTGCCTGATTTTGTGTCCAACGAGCTGCTGGAGGAAGCCTTCGGTTCCTTCGGTCAGATTGAAAGAGCCGTGGTCATAGTGGATGACCGAGGGAGGCCCACGGGGAAGGGAATAGTGGAGTACACCTCGAAGCCAGCTGCAAGAAAGGCTCTGGATAAGTGCAGTGATGGTGCCTATGTTCTCACAGCGTTTCCTCGACCTATTACGGTAGAGCCTATGGAGCAGCTCGACGAAGAGGAGGGACTGTCAGAAAAAATCATAAACAAAAACCAGCAGTATCACAAAGAGCGTGAGCAGCCGCCACGATTTGCTCAGGCGGGCTCCTTCGAGTTTGAGTACGCCATGCGTTGGAAGGCCCTGATGGAGATGGAGAAGCAGCAGTATGACATGGTGGACCGCAACATGAAGGAGGCTCAGGAGAAGCTGGAGGCTGAGATGGAGGCCGCCAGACACGAGCACCAAGTGATGCTGATGAGACAGGACCTGCTGAGGCGGCAGGAGGAGCTGCGGAGGATGGAGGAGCAACACAACCAGGAGATGCAGAAGAGGAAACAGGCTGAGATCCGGCAGGAGGAGGAACGCCGGAGGAGAGAGGAGGAGATGAGGATGCGCAGTGAGGAGATGCTGAAGAGGCAGCAGGAGGGCTTCAGAGGCAACTTCTCTGAGAATAGGGAGCAAGACATGAGGATGCACATGGGCAATCACGGGATGAACAGAAACTCGCTGGTCGGCAATGCTGGTCCTGCAGGTACTCCCGGCATGGCCGCTGAGAATACTCCACTGATTCCGGGGCCAGGGAACAACAACATGCCCGGAGGAGGCCAGGCTGGCTTCCCTAGAGGCCTCCCTGGGCCCGGAGACTATGGACCTAACAAGCAACGCAGATTTTGAATCACGTCTCTATTGTCACAGCCCGGCTCAGACACTCACTCACTGCATTTTAAAGTTCAGGAGTGTTACTTTTTTGAAAACTGTTGCATGTATTATTTTTCTTTATGTACTTTTTTTATTTGTACCTTGAGTTGTGTTTTTAGTACTAAAATGCCATAACTCTGAATGAGCCATGTCTTTCACTTTACCTTTTCACCTTTAGTGTATTTTTCATAGGGATAGAAAATGTTGACTATTGTGGAATAAATTCATGATTCCCTAAGAACTTTGTTTTGACATTAAAGATTTCTCTATGTCTTTCAAAGCAGCGTGGAGCCTCGTGTGTCACCATCAAACACCGTTTGTCTACATGTCGGTAATGTACACATAGGGCTCATTCTGGCCTTTGGTTTACTGTGTATACTCACAGCTGTCGGCTGGGTTTCTGGCATTGATTAGAGTATTGATTTAAGGAGCACTGATGAATCAATGGCCTGAAACACAATTCCAAGGCAGCATATAATCGATGCCATTGAGTCAGGCGTAATATGGTGCAAAAGGTCATGTAAAGTAAAGGTTGTGTGCTGACATTTTTTTTCAACATAGCTGTAGCTAATGTAGTTAGTTGGTCAGTCTAAATTAATTATACTTGGCCCACGTTAAGGTGTGCCACCCATTATGGCTTCCTGGGACCTGAAGTTGAAACAGGGCTTTTCCTGTTATGGCATCATAAAGTGTGTGTGCTGTTATAAAGGCATGTAATGCTCACAGATTTATATTGATTGTCGACTCTCCGGGAAATCCTCCACCTACCAAACGATGTTTTGTGACTCATCCACCCTCTGGCCAAGGAGGAAGCTTAGAGAGTTGCTAATCACTCTGACTGAAGAATAAAGCACAGTCCAAACACTCATGCCCACGCAATGTGTGACACTCAGGGCAATAACACCTGCGTACCTACAGAGTGACAGCAGTATACGTGAGTGTCCTAAAATGTCACAACCCACTGACTGCAGACAGAAGGAAGGTGAGTATTTTAAATTGGCAGTAGGAGGAGGAGGGTGTGATTCAGATGCACATTTTTCCAGCTTAATAAATGGGATGGATGTGGCTCACCACACCAGAAAAAGTACAGGTGGTGTCAATTAAGCATTCGAACAATAAGCTTTTCATTTACAGCCCTGTGATCGACTCAGTTTTAAGGTCAAAGTTCATCGATCTCAGTAGTGTAAGACACAGGTATTTAAAGTTTTCAAATACTGTTTCAGCTTGCTCCTAGTGCTGATCTCAGTACTGATTCATGCCATGTCAGCAGTGTGTTGTGCACATCCTGCTCTAGTGTTTGAGTTTAGTGAAGAAACCCCTCATCTAGTGACATGTCAAGATGAAACCCAAACAGCATGCGGAGGAAGTCTGCTTTGTAAACAAATGCTGTGTTAATGTTAGTCGACTGAAACTGTTAAAGCTTGCATAATAGTCAAACAGTTGCAGTGTGCATGTGCCAGACCAGTGCAGTGAAAGGAGCCAGGTTATATCATTATTCTTTGTCGCTCTGGTTGAGCAACTGCTCAGTACAAACCAAACATCAATGTTAAAGTTAAAGTCAGGGAAGTGACTGTTAGTTAGAGAATCAAATCAAGTAGCTTAGAGTCTCCTGCTAAACGTCTTAAGTGTCAAAACATCCGGCTGTTAGATGATGTAAATTGAAGATAATTAAAACTGAACTTTATTATTTTTTTTATGGCACCTTCAAACAAACATGTAGCCCAAAAATTAATACATTCTGTTGCAAGACTAAAATCTACAACAATTAAACAATAAAATGCTAAAAATCAATCACTTAAAGTAAAAATAATCACCTGGGATAAAATAAAATTGTGTAAAAACTATGATTAAGGCCTAAAAACGATTGCTATAACATTACCCTGAATTAAAAGTGATATTAAAAAGATGGGTCTTTAATTTCCTTTAAAAATTCAGAAGGAGCTTGTCCTTCGGTTTAGGGGCATAACAGGGGACACTCACCGCTGCTTTTAAGGGGCACAAAAGGAACATTTAAACAAACAGTGGTGGACGAGCATAGTGATTCAGATTGAACATAAAATTAAATCAAATCTCTGAGTGTTAGGTTGTTTGAAGCTTTATAAACTAGTACAAGAAGTTTGAAATTGATTCTAAAAGATAGAGGTAGCCGGTGCGTTGTCTTAATCTCCATCACGCAAAGGTTTTATATCTTCTCAGACAGCAGCTGACAACAAAGACCTTTCTAAAGAAACCTTCAACTGTATCGGAGTCCAAAAAGTCAAGACCATCCTGCCCGCACAATAAGAGATCAATAAATGGTTTTTGATAAGGACTTGATCATAAAGAGGGGAAAGTGTGCATTATCTGGATGTGAGATCAGCAAGCTCTCCGAGAAAAAATAGTCAAGAGAAGTCCTTTTTTGACCCCCTGTACCTCGGAGGATATAGCTGGCAAGAGATTTTCTCCAGCTCTCTCTGTAAGATTTTTCTTTTTCATTTCGATCATGAAAAGAAAGAAAAAAATCAGAAAAAGAAAAGCACCGTGATTACGTGGATCTTTGTCACCAATTATTCCTTATATTTAACATTCTGTATATGCAGTACATAATTATACTGCACATTTGCATAATCATTTAAAGCCTTCGTGATTATATAAATGCAATAGATTTCAGACTATAATAAGTATCACACCATGCAGTATAATATTAAGTGTTTAAACTTCAAACAGCATTTACATAAAACATACTAATACATAATATCAGTTATTATGTCTGAATCTTTTTCATTTGCACCACAGAAGGACATGTTACACCCATATGCACCAAGGGAAAATGTTAAACAGTGTCAGTGCACATAACATTTAATGCACTTGTTTCTGTCACTTGTACAATTAATACATAGAAATATGCATTTTGATGAAAGTAGAATATATGTATTATCAGCACTAACATATTAAATATAAAAGCTCTTATTTAGTAAAGTAGTAATCTTCTATTTCAGTGTTAAAACACGGAAACAACCAACAAAACAAACTAAATAAAAATGTAATAATGTAATGTGACTGGTGTTGGTTTAAATGAACAACTGTATCATGTTTTATGAACATGATCATATGCTTTCCATGTAAAAGCTTATTCTATGCAATTTTAGTGATAAGATGAATATAAGTGCAACAAAAGTATGTTTTCCAAAAAATGTAATTAATAAGTACTTGTGTAGGAACTTCCATGCTTGTAATCCTTTATTAATGTATTTGGGACAATGGGAACAACAATAGAAAAAAAGGTATAATACAATGCAATCAGATCCACCAACAGAACGATAAAAATGACGGTAGCTTTAAATAATATAAATATTTCTTTGACAGCCTCAACAGAAATATAACATTATCAAGGTAAACATCGAGGTATAGAATAAATTCTACCTTCAAAAGGTATCGTAAAAATGTTGCGTTTTTTTTGAGATTGTTGTTGATAATCTTTGTGTTTATTTTATTCCCTCAAATGTTTTTGTTTTGTTTCCTCTCCTCAAGGAACAACTGGTTTGTGACTCTTAATTACTTGGTATTATGGTGCTCAATTAAAAAAGGTTTATTACCAACAAAACATGAATGTTGCATGCAAACCTTTGCATATATAATACATCTGTTGACGCTGTTGTCTGTTCTTGAATATTTAATTATTCTTCATAAAATGTATTTTTGTACATTTAAAACCTATACAGTATATGTAGGCTTTGTAATCAAGACCTTACTGTTTACGCTGAAGCCAAAAATGCAGCAGCACACATTCAAATCTAGCCTCCGCACTGGATTTTGGGATTTACCAGGAAGTTGATTGTTGAATTTTGTAAAAAAACAATTTTATGAATGGGCAGAGTCCCTTGCAAATGTGGAGATAAGCACTCATAAAGAATGGGTGCCAGTACCTCTCAGGGTTATTCAAACATGATAATAAAACAGTGGGAATAAAATGATAAATAGATCAACAAATAAAAATATAAATTTATTTATTCACAGAGGTAAAACACTGTAAATATAAAAAGCAATAAAGTAGAGTAATAAATTCAAAATAATTTCAGCGCTGCACAGCCACTGTTACATTTGATTAATAATGCTGATAAATCACATGATTTTACATTTGTGATTTGAATAGTGGGCACTTTTTGGTTTGCTGAGGCCAAGTTACAAAATTCGATGTGTTGTCGTGACTTATCAGCATAAGAAAGAACAAAGAATGTCACCATATCTGCTCCATTTCTTCTTATCCTTTTTACCATCTCTGTTTATCACAAATTGAAATGCTTATGCACCTTCGCCCTGATAGCTCTGATGCACCTGCGACATGATCGTGAGTCTTGGTTGAAAGTCTTATCTCAGCCATGTCCTTGACATGTGTTAACAACACAATTAAAAAGTTGATCAGATATTGTGGGATGTGATCAAGGACGCGATTAGTCATATTCACTTAGAATTAAAGCCTGCTCATTTCACTGGGTTTGTTGTAAGACGTTTATACAAAAAGTGATTAAAAAACGTCTTGTTGGGACAGTAGCAGATATGGTCCTCTCTCCGTACATTACAGATCAGATAGCCTGCACACACCAGTGTGACTTAGATGATGGTCTAAAGGTCACATTCAGTGAACAGATATTTTTTAGGTCAACCAAATGTGTGTATGTGTCTTCAATGGGCCAAAGTGGCAGAGCGTGAGTAAGTGTATATGAAGTGAAGAACTGGGTACGGTTGTTATGTCAGATTCTCCTGTGGTTTCTCACTGCTGCTTCGGATCTCCTAAGCAACCCTATCGAAATTCCCCTCATTATCAGATAGGAATTTAGTCATCCATAGCTGTGATTGGCCAGCCGCCGCATCAGACCAGATAAGAAAGGTGTGACATCACAGGACCGATGACCCTGTACATGTTATGATGTTTCTCCTTCCCCGACCCTATCACTGTTGGACGGGCGGACAGACGATAGGAGAGACTGTCTCTCACTGTCTTACTTTTTCTGATGTATCGTCCAACAGGGCAGAAGTGATTTATATACACTCAATTACATACTGTACTTGTGGAGCCTGACTCTTCCCGTGCTGAAAAAAAATCTGGAATCATGTTCTGTGTCGCAGCCCTGATCACCTTTCTGTCTTGTGTGGTAAGTTGGTGCGGCCATTTTTCTTAGGAACCTGTGACTAAGTTGTGTAACTGTATTCTCAACACTGTACACTTGTTTCAGTCAACAGCATAATAACTTCACATTGCTTTGTCTTCATACTCCAGCGTTAACATTTTATAGGTCTTAA